AATAATGATGATGATGGTGATGACATTTCAGAAAACAAAAGTAAATTGTACTCGGTGTCTTTTCAATTCGCACAAATTCATTATGTTTGCAAGTTTGACTTCATTTCCATTGTTAACCCTTTGCACCCGACTGTCCCCCATCTGATTGTTGTTTGGGGAAATCTTGCCAACAGCTCGGATTTTCTCCTTTTATAATTTGCTGATCATTACAATGAACGTGTCTTTGGTATTGACGAACGAATTTGGTGTTGAATGATGCGATGTATAATAATACGACATCTGAAGAAACGCCTAGAGCGAAAGACTATAACAAAGACGTAAGAAGAAACGAAAGAAATAATTCGCACAGACTGGGATTTCTTGTTGCTTCTTTATGAAAAAAAGTTTAAAAAATGGCGGAGGATGTTACTATTAACTCTTGCATATTACACTTGTTCCAGCAATGCACTAAATTGAAAACGACATCACACGTTGGAAAGATATAATCAACAAAATTTCGTGTCAAGTACCATTTGAATTGATTATTTATAACCTAACCTAACCTAACCTACGTGGAGGAAATCTTCATAAAACACCTGAGTCTTTTAAGGGAAGATTACGTGTTGGATTTTTACCGACTAAAACCTCCACGATGGCCTTCCTCCGCACGTTCGGAGAGCTCCGGGACCTTTTTATACACACAGAGCTCTCCCGTGCTGTTGTCCTAAAGGACAATGTCTTTTTTGTTTTTCGTCCTAACAGGGGCTTAAACCCTGGACCCTCAGATTAAGAGTCTGATGCTCTACCGACTCCCAAAACCTAACCTAACCTGGTAGATGTTACAAGAAAAGTTCGTCGAGGGCAAAGGGTTAGTGTTAATTCTTTTCAGACCATTTGTTCTCTTTAGAAGTTTTCATAATCTTGAGGTGTTTAAATATCACCGGTAGAAAAGAAACATCATGAGGTTCCTCGAAGATATATCTCTACCGACTGAGCTATCCCCACCTGCCACAGTACTGTAGTCAACCGGAAAGTAATATTAAAAAATTGAACCACCATCACACCCAACGTGGCATTCAACGCGTGAATGTTGAAACGATCCTAGATGATTCTCGCGTTTGTCCTTCTCTCGATTGCAGTTCGGCGACAGCATAAAGCCCCTGGTGATCGAGTTGTACATCAGGGCGTTGACCACCGACATGAACGAGCTCGAGAGCCAGAAGACAAAGTCCGACACGGAGAAGGTGCGCGAGACGGCTGAGCGTTTGAGCACGCAGTTCCTCAAGTTGGCGGACGTTGTCGGTAGCAATATCGGCATTGCCCGGGAATGCGTGCTGACAGCGTTCTCCCTGCATCCTACGAGAACCTGTTACGATAGGATCAAGGAGATCGCCGTCGAGTGCGGGAAAACGAAAGAGGACGGCGGCGGGGGGACGACGACGTGCGGCGACAACAACGTGGTCGTCGGTAGCGAGAAACTGAAGCACATCCTCGAGAACAATCATTCCAGCGTGGGAGGGCTGAAGAGAACAACAACCGACGGCAACAACATCGGCATCATCGGTAACGGCGAGAAGAACGACGAGACGAGCAACTCCCCGTTGTTCCCGGTCGTTACGACGATAACGACGACAGCGTCGACGAAGAAGAACATGGACTTCCAGAACGGGCAAGTGAGCAAGAGCTTCGAACGGACGGACCAGCTGTTGAAGAGCCTGCTGACTCCGAAGAAGGGTGGGGGCGACACGGGTGCGATCTCGGTGAACGACAGATGTCTCTTGCATCCGAAGAGGGACCCGTTGTCGAACGGACCACTCGGCGAGCTTTGCTTCAACTGCGGCGAGTTCACGGGGAACGACATCACGACTCGAAGGAGCAAGTCCCCGGAGGAGTCGAGCGACGGCACGACGGCTTCGAGGAACGTGGAGAGAACGCTCGACGCTCTGATTCTGATCAAGGGTGACGCGGTCACGGGTTCGGCGAACTACGACGAGAAATCGGTGCCGAATCAAGTGCTGGACGCGGAGAAACTCGGCCTGTCGCCGCAGCTTTGCGACGACCTGGCCGTCGTTCTCAGCAGTCCCCGTTACCACATGCTCAGCTGGGTCTTGGACTGGAAGGAGCTGAACAGCCTGTGCGAGAGGTACCTGGAGAACGCCGAGGAGATGCGCAACACCAACAAGGAGCTCAAGTACCTCAACATCGACTACTCGCAGTTCAAGGACTGGCCCTCGGAGGACGACACGAAGGACATCTTCTTTGGCATAGAGAAAGGGTACGAGCAGTGGGTGGACTTGCCGTCGGACGGCTCGGAACAGTTTGGCAGCTTTCAACCAGCCGGTAGCTACAAGAGATCCTCGACGAGAAGAAGCCTCGACGACACCACCACCACCACCACCACCACCACCGACTCGGACAGCGGGAGCGTACTGCGGATAAGGAGGACAGGCAGACAGAGGAAAATTCACAGGCTAGAGTCGTCCGAGAGCGATTACGACAGCGCGGAACGCCGTAAGCCGAAGCACTTTAGGAACAGAGTCAGCTCGATGTCCGACACCGACAGCAACACGCAGGACAGCCAGACGGACAGCCTCGGCAGCGACGGATGCCGGCGGCTCGAGGTGAAGAAGAAATCGTCGAGCAAATCGTCGAGCAAAGAGTCGAGTAAGAAACGTTCGAAGCCCTCGAAACTGACTGTCGAGTCGGTCTCGCATTTTCACATGCTCGTCAACGAGAACGTCCGACACGCGAGCACGAACGAGGACGCGAGCGGCTCGGACGTGAGCAGCAACGACATAATCACCCTGTTCTCGGCCGACATGGACGAGAACAAACGGGAAACGATCAAAGGTTCGGCGTACACCGCGGCCGCGCCGTTGATAATCACCGAGAGAAGGAGCGACCCGGCGGTGCTCAAGTCGCTGAGGATGTTCAGGCCGCAGAACTCGAAGAAGTCAACCAGGATATCGCAGATATTGCAGAAGAATCTTCTGAACAAGAGCAAAGACAATAATAACCTGGAGAGTAACGGGAACAATATATCCAAGTTCGCCCCGATGCTCAGCACGCTGAACCTGAACCCGAAGATCGTGTTGACCAGGGCGGACGAGATCGACAGGAGGCTGATCCGTTCGAAGAAGCAGCAACGACTCAGCAGCGGCGACATCACCAGCGAGTTGATGAACATTCAGAAGAACATGCCGTTCTCGCCGAACAAGAATCCGTTGTCCACGTATCAGAAGCAGCAGAAAGGCAACAACGGGGCGTCGATCACCGGTAAAACGAAAAACGACCTGTCCTCCGCCGCGGACGGACGGGACTTGAACTCGAAAACGACGAACCTGGGCAAACGAAAGTTCGACATTCTCGCCAAGGCTGTCAGGGACTCGGACATCCTGGCGAAGAACGTGCCGGGCTTGAACTCGTTGGACATGATGGTGCCGCCGAGGATGCGACCCACGGTGAATGTCGTTCAGCTCTCGAGGAACATTCCACAGAGTCCGAACTCGGGCTCGATCAACAGCGGTAACACTCCACCGCGGCCAAACAGAACACCGAGCGTCGCTGGCAACATCCAGCTACCCGGTACACCCTCTTCCGGGGGGCACGACAGCGGCGTCGGCATGAGCCCAGCCGGTCAGACCCCCCCTCCACCGACCAGGTCGTCGTCCATTCTTCCCGACGTCGGCGAGGAGACGAACCAACCGCCCGACAGTTCGCCGACATCTTCCACCGCCACCAACCTCTCCAGTCAACTCGAACCGGACTCCAGCCCGAGAACGATGCCTGCTATTCGGCGAACTAACCAACAGCAGAACCAGTCGCCGAAGAAGTCTCCGTCTCCGTGTTCGGCGGTGGTCGCCGCAGCCGCTGCCGCCGCCGCCGTGACCACCACCACCACCACGAGCTCGGGAGTCGCCTCGACGACCATCGCGTCTGAACAGTTGCAGATCGTTTGCAAACCGGACGGCACGTACCAATTGGCCCCAGTGAATCCGAGCGTGGTGTCCAATCAGAGGAACATGCTCAGCCTGCAGAACATCGACGACGCGACGAGCGTAGCGAATTTCTCGCGGCAAGGCCAGAGGGGGGTGGTCGAACACCCGAACACGACCAACAGCAGGAGCACGTACGAGAGGTTAACATCCGCGAAAGTGACGGCGCAGAACGCCGGGCAGAACGCCGGTCTGCCCAAGTTTCAGCAAGCCTTCGGCAAGACTATATACACGCTGTCGGCGGACACGTCGGCGAGCGGCGTGACCGGCGCCGCCTCGTCGGAAACGCTGGTGCAACAGGCGGTGGTGTCGCCGCAGAAGACGGCCAATCTGTCGAAGGCGGTGCAAACGTCGGTACCGAACGCGCAACAACAGACGAACGCCACCACGGGGATAAACGTACAGTCGATCGCGAACATTCCAAACACGTTGCAGCTGTCCACCAGCAGACAGATCTTGAACATCGTGCAGAGCTCTGGAAACAACGCGAACGTGGCCACCAGCCCGAACGCGAATCAAACGTTGACGCAGTTGGTGCAAAGCGTTCAGAACGCCTCGCCCGGTGTCATATACACGCACAAAATTCCCGTTACCATATCCACCACGAATCCCAGTCAGCTGAACATTATACCGACTATATCGCACGCGAACTCGATACCAGCCGGCAGAACGCCGGTCGTCAAGTTGAACATTATCCGCGCTCCTCTCAGACAGCAGAACATCACCGGAGCTATTC